GCAGGTGGAACCATTCATGTCACCTCCCAAGACCCCTGCCAAACTCCTCTGCTCAGGTGAGCAGTTGTGGAACATCAGTTTTCTCTCAGAGAGACAAGAGGGTGCCATGGCCAGAATCTAGGGAAAGGAATTCAGACCAGCTCAGGCAGTTGGGTAAGATGAGGGTAGTTGGAATTGGAGAGTTTTTCTGTCACCTATGACACCTAGGTCTGGGGCCAGCATACTACAGGAATGGACTGGGATCTTGAGCTTGGTTTTCCACATTCCTATGTCCTTATATAAAATTATGGGCAGAGAAATGTTCATGGTAACAGAAGAGGAGATGGTCTGTTGGAGGAGAAAGGCACTTCCAAGTGGGACAATTGGCCATGGCTGTGAAAACTCAAAGGCTCAACGATGCCAGGTAAACTGAAAATTTTGCACAAAGCATGGTTTGTCAGCCCTGTTGTGTTTTCTGTCCTTGCTTTCTTTCATTCAATAAACTTCTGTGCTGCCGGGTGGTGGTGGCGCACGCCTTTAATCCCAGCACTTGGGAGGCAGAGGCAGGTGGATTTCTGAGTTCGAGACCAGCCTGGTCTACCGAGTGAGTTCCAGGACAGCCAGGGCTACACAGAGAAACCCTGTCTCAAAAAATAAATAAATAAATAAATAAATAAATAAATAAATAAATAAACTTCTGTGCTGCTAATACTCAAACCCAGTGCCTTGTGCATTTGAGGACAATACTTAACCACTGAATTAACCCTCAATCCTCTTGATGCCCCTCCCTCCACCCTACTCTCCTGTTACTGTCCCCTTGGTCCCATTGGGATTCTCCTCAGTGTCAGAAGAGCCTGATATTCCATACTGAGTTCTCTTACTGTTCTGTGTGGTAGTGACCTGTGATGAAATAAAGTGTGGGACAGCCTGTTATCTGTAACCCTTGACTTCCACTTACCAGGATGGAGTCAGACATTGTAAACACACCCACCCCTTGTTTCTCACTATTGTCACACAGACTGGGTGAAAGGGCTAAACTGAGAAGAGCCATCTGCTCAATTTCTAGATTAAACAGGAGCCAGAGGGAGCAGGGCACCAGCCTCCTCTGACTTTGTCTGACCCAATTTCTTCTTGTGTAGCAGAGGATGGGATGTGGAGAGCCGGAGAAAGTTCTACTCAGAGTACCAGGTTCTGATCAACTAGAAAGGGTGTTAATGTTTCTCTTGAGATTATTAAGTGATGGTAGGTAATACTGCCTTTCAAAGATAATATTTTTAAGTTGCTTTTTATTGTATGATATTCTCCATGTATGTTCCCTGTAAGACAAGCACCACGTACCTGAAACACTTAATTTTTGATACATCTCCATCACCCTTCCTTGTCTTATTCTTCCTTCCCCTTTATCCCTTCCTTCCTGTCTGCCTTTCTACCTGTGTGTATATGAATACATTTTTGAGACAGGGTATTATACACTCCCAGGCTGCTCTCAAATTATATGGTCAAGCATGACCTTGAACTTCTCCACCTCCTGCCTCCACATCCAGAGTGCTGGAATCACAGGTATGCACCTCTTACTCCTGGTTTGTGCTGTGGTAGGGTTCAAAGCAGAAACCTCCTGGACACTGGGCAAGCACTCCACTGATCTGCAGCCCCGCCCATCCTCCTCCCTTGGAACTTATCAGTTGTGAATCTCTTTGGAGCTTTCTGGAACACATTGGTATTACCAGAGGGCAGGGTCTGGTCCTGATTGTCTGGTGTTCTGACAGGGACTAAACAGCAGGCTTCATGTGCACCTGCTGAGTGACTGAGTGAGCAAATGGACAAGAACCCCTCATTTCTGATCTTTTACTTTCAATCTGAATGAAAGTAAAAGTTGTTCTTTAAGAATTCAAACTCTGTGATGGCTGCTATCTCAGGACCAGGAGGTAGTGGCAGAGTTCAGGAGTTCAGGTTCATCTTCAGCTATGTAGCAAGCTCAAAGCCACACTGGGATGTATCAAACCTTGTGTCAAAACAACAAAACAAAACAAAAGAAACAAACAAAAAAGAACAACAACAAAAATACAAAACACAAAGAATCTCTTACATTTTGTTTCTGTTTTGAATGATAGAAGTGAATGGTCCCTATCTAAAATTGTGTTTTCGTAACAGACAGAGCTCTGTTTTCATCTCAGCTTTTACAACTGCTTCAGAGTCTCCACCACCCAGAGAACCAGGAAGATCATAGAAAGGGTAACAGGCAGAAAATGTATACACTGTGGACATTTCCCCCAGTGACTCCAGGCCCGGATTAGCAGGGGACCATGGTGAGCAGAACCAACTGCCTAGAGCAGAGTATGTTTTCTCTGTGCCTCCTAGTCTACTGGGTATTTATAAACTTACCACAGAGGAAGGCTCTTAAGGGACACAAAGGAAGTTAGCATAGAGAGCTGTCACAGGGCATTTTCTAAAGCATAGAGCTTTTTCATTGATTATTAGCATTTCCATTTCCCTGACTGACTGATGCCATATGAGAAAGAGTGGATGATTGTTATTCAGGCTAAGATTTCCCAAGAGTCAGAAATCCAGATTTCCTATGAATTTTTAACTATAAGCTGTTTGAAATGTTTTGGAGAACATTAAATATATGTATTCACCAGCTTCCATTGCTGTGACTTATGTCTGAGGCAGTCAACTTACAGAGATGCAGGGTTGATTTGGGCTCATGGTTTTAGAGGGTTGTGTTCCGGAATCAACTGCCTTCTTTGTGGCTTGAGGTAAGGCAGCACATGCAGGTAGAAGTGTGTGATGTACCAAAGCTGTGTATGTTTTGGCCAGGACAAGAAAGAGATAAGGGATGGGCTGGAGTACCCTTAAGCACACAACTCAGTAGCCAGAAGACTAATCTATCTGTCTATCTATCTATCTATCTATCTATCATCTATCTATCTATCTATCCATCCATCCATCATCCATATAACTATCTTCTACCTACCTATCTATTATCTATCATCTATCAACTACCTATCATTTATTATCTATCTATCATCTATCTACTTATCTATCATCTATCTATCTATCTATCTATCTATCTATCTATCTATCTATCTAACATGCGTATCTATACTTGTGTGTACGAGTGTTTTGCCAGTCATGTATGTGGTGCACACCCTTGTAAATTACACATGGAGGCCAACAGGGGGGGTCACAGCCACTAAAACTGGGAGTACATATTGTGAGTTGCCAAGAGAGGCCAGCACTCTTAACCAGTCCAGAGGTGGCTCCAGGCCCATGCCTGACTTCTTCAAATTTTCACCACTTCCCAGAAGATCACCCTGGACACCACAACATCATAAAAGTCTTCGGGGAAGAGTCCAGAAACAAGCTCCCAGAAATACACATGGAGGTGAGGTCGGGCTTCGAGAAACCAGGTTACTCACCTCCGATCTCAGTAGTCACAGGCTCTGTTACTTGGTGTCTATATGTGCCATCCTCTTTCACCGTGTCACAGAAGAAACTCCTATAGACCTTAGATTTGTCAACACTGGCCCTGGCTGACCACTGGCAGGGTCTCAATTCTAACTATGTGAGACTGCATCTCATGATTTAAGTGTCAATTTTATTATAGTTTTAATTTAAAATAATATGTGTGAGAGAAGTATGTTCAGGCAGATACCTTTGGAGGCCAGAAAATGGCCCTGGATCCCCCGGAGCTGGACATACGAACAGTTTTGAACCTCTTGCATTGGGTGCTGGGAACTCTACGGCAGTCCTCTTGAAAGAGCAAGAAGTAGGCTTAACCACTGAGCCATCTCTCCAGACCCCTCAGTCTTATTTCTTGAATGGACTGCTTAATTACAACCAGACATTTCTACTGTGGCTGCATTTTTATGTTGCTAGATTTTAGTGTGCAAGGCCTTTGTGAGCATTCTTCCCTTTGACTACATTCTTGGTCCCTACTATGTGCCAGGCATTGTTCCCAGCACTGAGCAGTGCCTGAGACAGACGTGTTTCTGTTCTGGAGAATGCATAGCCTCATGAGGAAAACACTCCATAAACACTCAACGAAATAACAAATTTGCATAGAGTTGTAAGCAAGGAACACCTGGTTGAAGCTGCACAGACATGGGTCAGCTAGGTGGCTCAGAAGGTAGTCCTGGCTGTGTCTTTTAATTAGTGATCGATGGGGGAGGGCCTAATCCATTGTAGGTGGGGCCATCTCTGAGCTGGTGGTTGGGTCTGCAAGGAAGCAGGCTGAGCAAAGCAGTGAGCAGCAGCCCTTCATGGCTTCTGCATCTGCCATAGTTAGGGTTACTATTTCTGTAATGAAACATCCTGACCAACACAACTTGGGGAGGTAAAGGTTTGTTTGGCTTAGACTTCCACATCACTGCTCACCATTGGAGGAAGTCAGGACAGGAACTCAAACAGGGCAGGAACCTGGAGGCGGGAGCTGATGCCATGGAAGGGTGCTGTTTTCTGACTTGCTCCCCTTGGCTTGCTCAGCCTGCTTTCTTATCAAACCCAAGATCCCGAACCCAGGGATGGTACTACCCACAATGCCCTCCAAACCCCATCAAACAATAATTTTTTTAAAAAAATGCCCTACATATCTGACTAAGGCCTGATCTTACATATGAGTTTTCTCGATTACAGCTCTGTCCTCTCCTCTGACCCCAGCTTGTGTCAAGTTTGTATAAAACTATTGAAGCTTGATCACCTGAGTTCCATCCCTAGTATCAATGGTAGAGGGAGAGAAATAAGTCCTTAAAGTTCTCCTATCACTCACTCACACACACACACACACACAGAGAGAGAGAGAGAGAGAGAGAGAGAGAGAGAGAGAGAGAGAGAGA